CCAGACAGTCACGTGGTCTGTACATTTTGGGGTCACCTGCCCCCCCAAAGTGAAGTTGTCACCTATAATACTGCCCCCAAAGTGACCCCTCACCTGTCCCACCATACTAGACCCCGTGGTAGCAGGGACCCCAAAAAGTGCTGCTCTGTTGACCTAAGTATTTGACCTCAGAGGTCCCCCAAAAGAGCCCAGGTAGGTTGTGATCCCTGAAAGTGTTGACCTGCATGATGCCAACCTACCCCAAAAGTGTGGTCATGTTGGGGGTCACAGCTGCCCCCACCCCCATAGTTGACCTTTGGGCAGGCACACCCCAATAAGGTCAGAGACACCCCAATTTTTTGTTACCAATTGGGGTCATAGCCCCTCTAAACGTTGACCTGTTGGGTACTTTCCTATCTGTAAAAAGTGCTGTCATGCGAAGGTTGTGGCCCCCCAAATTTAACCACCCCAATAAAAAAAACTAATGACCCACCTTTGTTAAGTCTTAACTTTCCCAATCCCAAAAAGTGTGGTGATGCAGGGGTCTAATTACCCCCCCTTGATAATTGACCTCACAGCCAGGGGCACCCCAAAACTATTGGGTCACAGCCCTTTAACCTACAATGGCCAAAATACCCCCCAAATTAGTAACACACCTATGTTAGGTGTTAACTTGCCCAATTCCATCCCCTGGACATGCTGGAGTTTATACCCCCCCCCCCCCCCAAGATAATTGACATCTCCATCAGGGATACCCCAGAAAACTGTCACAACCCCTACCCAAACTGCTCAAATCACCGTCCCCCCCCCCCCCAAATTAGTAACACACCTGTGTTAGCTGTTAACTCTCTCAATTCCAATCTCAAAGTGTAGCCAGTCTAATTTCCCCCAAGATAATTGACCTCTCAGTCCGGGACACCCCAACATGCTCAACACGCCCCCAAACTGACACCCCCTGTGTTGGGCTTTAAGTGTGACATTGCTCAAAATATCAAACTATCGATCCTGTACAAACTATTGACACCCCTGGATCCCCTGAAGTGTTTGACTTCCAAAAAGTGGTGACCCCAACACATCTCCAACTTTGGACACCCCAACAAAAGTATGATAGGTAGTCACCATGGACCCCCAAGTGGAGATCAAATGTTCCCTTCCCCCAGAAATTAAGTATTGGCAGGTAGTCATTATGGTTAGAATGGACCCCCCCCAAAAAAAAAAGTGAGTCATGAGAGCAGTGCAGCTGACCCCCCACCTCAGTGGAAGGGTGATCCCACTCATGTTGTTGGAACTCCCAAAACTTTTGACATCCCCCCCCCCACCAAAACACATGTGCCCAGTGTGTGGATCCAGCATGGTGTGCGGGGATTCCTCCTTGGGATCGGCATGTGCCGGCTGTCACTGGGACTCATTGTTCGTTCCCTACACAGAGATCACATCTGCTGCCCGATCGGATTTTCAGGACAATGGATCTCCCCTGATCACCTCATTGTGTGCCGGTGACACCGCCGGCCTCCTCTATCTGGCTACAAAGAGGTGACCCCCGCTGTGTGTGTGATGCCCAGGTGGTGTCACCTACACTTGGTGAAACTTTCCTCGGTCAGTGGATGTATAGGGGGTGTTGTGTTGGTGGACATTTAAACAAAGGAAGTCATAGTAGGGGTCGGCGATCTCCCTCTCCCCGGTGGGCTCTTCTCTGCCCCTGTATTGGGGGGGTCGCACTGTTTGCCCGGTGCCCCCGTTGGTCGGGCAGTCTCATTGTGTGATGTGTGGGGTGTTTTGCTGGGCTCCGGGCTCCAGCTTTGTTTCCAGTCATCAGGCTGGGTGATGTGCTCAGACGCCGGGGGAGGAGAAGGAGGGGGATGTGATTGTACGGAGGGGAGGGGGCTGATTGACAGCATGGCTCCGAGGACATTTAAATCCTCCCATTCAACGGCACGCTGCGCTCTCTGCCGCCCCTCTGGCTACACGCCGCAACTACAACCCGAGGTGACAACTCTTGTTCTGGGCTCTGGATTGAGGAAAACACTTTTGTTTTGTTCGGTGACCTCAATCTGTGTCCTGCTCTGCCTATCTGTTGTTACTCCTCTGCTCGAATAATAGAGGAAATTTACCATTGCTTTTCTTCCCATTTGATGGAAAATCTTTCTCTGTGTATATATTTTTGTTTTTATTTGTGTTTGGGGCTTTGTTTTTGGTTTTTGTTTTGCTCTGATTGTTTAGCTGTAAGTGCTATTATCATAAAAGGAACAATTCACTGTTGATTTTCCTCCCCTTTGATCACAAATCTTTTTGTACATCTGTCATTTCTGATTTTGTTTATACTTTTGTGTTTTTGGTTTTTATTTTTATTTTGTATTTGTTTTGCTGGGGTTGTTTAGTTTTATCTGCTAATTGTTGTTAAAAAAAAAAAAAGCCTTGATTATCTTCCCTTTGATGGCAAATCTGCACATATGTATTTTATAGGTTTTTTTTGTGCTGTTTTGCTCTGGTTGTTTGTGTTGCTTGGCTTAATCTGTCAGTATAACAAAAAAAAAAATCTTTTAGTTTGATATTTTTCCCATTTGATTTCAAATCTGTCTGTATTTTGTGAATTTCTTTTTTTTTTTTTTTTTTTTTTTTTTCTTTGTTTTTCCTTTTTTATGGCCCTTTTATGTGTTTTACAAAAACATTTACTGTTTTGGTTTTTCCTCCTTTTGATTGTAAATAGCTTTTATCTGTACATCTGTATTTTCTAATAGCTTTTTTGTTTTGGGTGGGATGTTTGCCTTTTAGTTTATCTCTAGTGAAATCATTTTCTTGTTTGTTTGTTTTGAATAGCATATAAAAGGGATTAGAAGGTTTGATCTTGTGTTTTTGTTTTTTTTTGCCCATCTGTACACATTGGGGAGATTTCCCTATGTTTCCTGTTCCAGAGGCACATCAGAAAAAAGAAGGAAATCTCTCTCCACAGTGAGGAGAATTTCTCTTACTTTTCACCAACACAAGTGTCCCCATTGAAACATTTCTCTCACCTCTTGTTCCTGGGGCAACTGTCAGTTTTTGGATTTCCCCTCATTTTTGCCCCAAGGACAATGGTGATCAAGACAAATTGAGTGAATGAGTCTGGCCAGTGTGGTCACAGACAGCGACCAAAACAGGACACTCTTACTCTATCCAAAACTAGAAAAGGCCTTATTATACGGGTGCATCAGAGGAGCACCACATAAAATGGTTGCTTTCTCGCGTAATCCTGCATGTAGCATACGGATGTGTTCCTCAAATGCATAAAGCATGTGTCCGTACACTATATTTTGGTGTACATGAGTACCATCATAATACCACGTACAGCCATTTTATTTCTGTGGGCAGCTCTATGCAGAACCTGGGCTTCCCTTGAATGGAAGAGAGACAGATATTTGTTGTACTCTCCTAATGTGTGTGTTTGCATGAGTCCAAAATATGTTGTCGAAAGATGTAATTTTAAAGTGGAACTAAACTCTTCTATCCTTTACAGCCAAGGAAGCTGCCATCTTAGCATTTGTTTGATCTGCATTTGACATAGTGCTGCACATGTCATCAGCTCTGACACCAGCCATTTGATGGCTTGACAGTTCAGTTGCAAGCACAAGGAACTGTGACAGTTATCACTCACAGAATTCCTTGAATATAACTGTTTTGGAAAATCAGGGGTCTCCAATCTTTTTAAACAAGGAGCCAGATTACTGTCCTTCAAACTTTAGTGGGGCCAGACTGTGGCCAATGGGAGAAACAAATGTCCTGCCATCAGTGGGAGTATACCCTGCCCCATCATTGGTATTCGGGTTAACAATAGTGCCCCATTGTTGGTATCAATGGGAGGAATGGTGCCCAGTCATTGATGTAAGTGGGAGGAATAGTGTCTCTTCTTCGGCGGGAGGTGGTGTCGGCGGGAGGAATGGCGTCGTCCCATTTGGCGGGGTCGGCGGGGGAGGAATGGCGTCGTCCCATTTGGCGGGGTCGGCGGGAGGAATGGCGTCGTCCCATTTGGCGGGGTCGGCGGGAGGAATGGCGTCGTCCCATTTGGCGGGGTCGGCGGGAGGAATGGCGTCGTCCATTTGGCGGGGTCGGCGGGAGGAATAATTTCCCACTGTTGCCTTACAGTGGTGGTAATAATGCCCCCAAGGTCCAGATAAAAGCAAGCCAAGGGCCTGCAGTTTGGAAATCATGGCTTTAAATTGGTGGCTTTAGTTTTAAGGGGGTTCACCTTTACACTGGACAACCTCCCCACCTACTGTGCCCCCTGTACTTAGCTGCAGGGATACCAGTCTGTCAGCAGCACTTCCAGGATGGAGCAGATCGATTCTGTTTCGTCAGTGCTGTCACATTGAATTGATTTGGCCCAATCAATAATGGCAGCTTACCTATTTTTCTCAGTACAGGTTTAAAGTGGACTGAATATCAAAAGTATAGTTTCAAGTTTCTTAATGTACTGTATATCTAAAGCCAGATTTATTTATTTTTTTGAGTGGTGAGGAGGGAGAACCTCTTTGGCATATTTTTTGGTTGCTGTCTGTGCCTCTGTTATGCAGGTTTCTTCATACTTCATGTCTCACAACAGGAAATAAGAGAGTCTGATAATGGCTGATTGTGGAGCTTGAAGGTTCTTATCACACGAGGAGGTTAAGGTGTTCAGCCAAAAGAGCGAAGGGCCAAAAATGACTGTATATATGGTAGTGTCATTTTATCCCAACACTGGTGATTCTATTGATGAGGGACCATCCCCCAAAGCCTGTCGGAAAACTGACACCTCCTGGAGTGTCGCTCCTCAGCAGTATTTGCCAGTTCTGCCCGTTGACTTCTATGCTATTAGCGCGACTTGTAATGACCCATATTATCTGATTCTGCAATCAGTCAGAGCCCAGCAAGAAGAGTGGGACTGGTCACCACATTGGAACTGGCAGGAGGAGGACTGTGAGGCCATGGATTAACCACCTCCCGCCCACCATATAGTCCAATGAGGGGCGCAAGGTGGTTCTCTTGTTCTGGGAGGACGTCATTTGACATCCTCTCATTCTTACCCCACATGCTCGGCTCCGGGAGCATGCAGCGTGGTGATCAGCATTGTGCTGTGTCCCTCGAATACACAGTGGATCACCGATCCACGGAAAGAGCCGAAGATTTTGGCTCGGTCATGTGATCAGCTGTGTCCAATCACAGCTGATCAGGTGTAAACAGGGAAATGCGGTTATCAGCATTTTCTCTCCTCTCGAGCTGTCACGCTGACAGCTCGAGAGGAGAGCGGCAATCGGCATTCCGCGGAGGGGACATGTACACTGATCATCAGGGCACTGATGATCAGTGTGGCCCCAGAAGTGCCACTTGTCAGTGTCCATCAGTACCAGCTGTCAGTGCTGAACAGTGCCACATATCAGTGCCTACCAGTGCACATGAATGCCACATATCAGTGCCCATCTGAGCTGCTTTTCAGTGCCGCCTATCAGTGCCCGTCAGTGCGCCTATCAGTGCTGCCTTTCAGTGATGCTGTCAATGCCCATCAGTGCCACCTACCAGTGCCTCCTTATCAGTGCAGCCTATCAGTGCCCATCACTGCAGCCTCATTAGTGCACATCAGTGAAGGAGAAGAATCACTTATTTACAAAATTTTATAACAAAAAAATAATAAGAAAAAATGTTTGTGTTTTCAAAATTCAGTGGTTTTTGGTTTAAGAAAAAAATAAAAAACCAAGAGGTGATTAAATACCACCAAAATAATGCATTATCTGTCACAAAAAAAATGATAAAGATTTCATATGGGTACAGTGTTGCATGACTGCGCAATTGTCATTCAAAGTGTGACAGCGCGCTGGAAATTGGCCTGGACAGGAAGGGGGTATAAGTGCCCTGTAGGCAAGGGGTTAAAGTAATTTTCTCTCTTAAATAATACCCTGGAAATATGAGCAGGTTATCCTTTATCTGCTGGGGATAGTTTTAATGCCAGGTGATGGTGTAGCATTTCTGTCACATGACTGCTGTGATTGCTGTGGCAGCGGTCACATGATCAGGAGTCAGGACTGAGATGTCTGAGACAGCGCGGTCAGTTTGTTGGGGAGCATTGCATCTCCGCTCAGAACTTTAGGCCACCATGGACATAAATGAATGTACTTTTCCTGCTGCCGGATGCATTGGGTAAACAGTCGGCAAGAGATTAAGAATGCCAGAGATTAGGCTTTGACAAACCAGAATTTTCGGGTAACACATACAGGCTCTGAGCAGAGCAGTTGTTTCTTGACATGTAGACCCAGAACTAAATGTTTAGCTACCGTGCTGTCCCAGCTCTTGTGAATACCCCCCCCCCCCCCCCCATATAGCCAGTATTGCATTGCTATGCATTCAAATAACCGTTTAGACTGCTAATCAAAGCCCCTCATGTGCAGCGTTTGCTGTGTGTGTGCGCGCGCATTGATTGTCTCTGTAAACGGCACTTGGAATCAATTGCTGTGTAAATATTTAGCAAGCTTGCAAAATTACATCTTATAGGAAATGCGCTTTTACATAATGTTCCGTTCCACCTGCTGAGACTCCAACTTTTTTTTCTCCTGCAGTTTACCGTTTTTTTTTTTTTTTTTTTGTTTTGTTTTTTTTTTTCATCCCAAAAACATCTCGTTACCAATTTTTATTGTTTTTAAAGCCAAAAGCGATCATCTGATTACCATTGATTGGTGATATACTTGAGCTGGAAAATGGCCTTGATGGTTAATGAGCGTAGGGGAAGGAAAAATAAAGTACACAAGATAGGAAAGTGGTTTTTTTTTTTTTTTTTTACATTTCTTCCATTACTTCCTGGTATGCAGGCCTAGGCCAACATGATGTCATACATCCCAGGAGTCTTCAAGAGGGGAGGAGTTATTTTCTCAGCCAAGCACACCCTCCTGCCTGCATGCCTGAGCTAAGGGAAGATGGATTGCAGGAAGTAAATTCTACAAAAAATCATTTACCCTTAGTCAAGATGGCCACAGCTAGAAATGGAGGATGTTTTTCAGAGTGATTTGTCAGCAAAATTAAGCATGGAGACATGGATGTGCAAGTTTGCTTTGAATATCAAACCTGAATAAATAGCGTTTTTGGTTGGTGGTGGTCATTTGCTGTGTAGTTCCGCTTTAAAGTGTATGTAAGCCCTAACAATAAACTTTGCGTATTTGCTCCCTGTTGGTCTGTTATATATACTATTGGCAGTTTTTGTTTATTTGTTCAGTAAGTGCAAAAATTAACTGTTAATTCTGCCTGAAATCTTTGTGTGGTGGTCAGTTCCTGTGAACAAGGAGGGGCTACAGTGGTGAGGAGGAGGGGCTATGAAGATGCATAGGGCAAGGAGATGAGAAGTCTATGCTCTTTTTAATGCATTAGAAATATTGTAGGCAGGACTGACACCATGTGCTTAGGAATCCAAGACTGTGTTGTCACACACAACATGGGAAATCTATTTCAGAGATGTGTAAAACTTTTTTGCCTTACTCTTCAACTAATTCTTACACTTTGCTGGTGTTTTATCTGTTTACTGTTATTTCAGCATGCTTCAATGTATGTATGCTTTAACTACTTAAGTACCAGGCCTATTTTGTCAGTTTTTTGTTTACAAGTAAACTTTGCTAAATAAATTATAGGTTTGGGGCTTCCACATAATTTTCTAGCAGAGTCCCTTGAGAATAAAAAATAGCCGTCACTGCAAATTTTTCTTATGTCGCAAGGTATTTGCGCAGTGGTTTTTCAAATGCAATTTATTTGGAAAAATACATTTTAATTAATTACCCACTTCCAGTCCAGACACTTTTACCCCTTCCTGTCCAGGCCAATTTTCAGCTTTCAGTGCTATCACACTTTGACAATTGCATGGTCATGCAACACTGTACCCATATGAATTTTTTTAGCATTTTTTTTTAGACAGATAAAAGCTGTATTTTGGTGGTATTTATTCAGCACTGGGATTTTTATTTTTTTTGCTATGTAAATTAAAAAGTACAAACATTTTTAAAAAAGGTGTTTTTCTTATAAAATTTTGCAAATAGTATTTCATCATATAAATCTTGGCCAAAATTTTTTCTGTTATATTTTTAGTAAATATAAAAATTACTTAAATTAGGTTTATAACCAAAAATTATAATTTTTAAACATTTTTTTTGTGTGTAGTTTTTTTACTTTTTTTTAAATATTTTTTTTTACATACTGTCACCCTAGCAGTACAGTGTCACTATGGCGACACTGTACTACTTGTGGGGGGGTAATGAAGATTTTTTTTTTTTTTTTACACTGATTGCTTTTTACACCCATAAAGGACGTAAAAGCAATAATTTCTCCTTCTCTCTAGCTGCATTCTTGCAGCCATTGAAATCTACTGAGGGAGTGTTAATGGTCACAGCTTGTCACATGGTGCAAGGCTGTTGTGAATACCCTGGCACCATGTGACCTCTGTGATCATTCACAGATTTCACAAGTAGTAAGCAATGATGTCACAAGTGACATCTTGTGATTACTACTCTGCATGTGATCACTGATTGGCCAATCAGTGATCACATGATTGGGACCTTGCACAGAGGTCCCGTCCAATCGGTGTTCCACTGTGTCGGACACAGCGGGCACCGGATCGCAATGCTACGTGCTCCTAGGGTGCTCGCTCAAGCAGGGTGTGGGGAGGCGTTTATAAATGGCCACCAGACCCTGCACTACCACCATCCGTCCTGACAGGAGGTGGTTAAACCATTAGCCCGCCCTGCCAATGGCCGTTTGGCGGCTTCAAATGTGTCTCTGCACTCCGGGTGCATGCCATTTGGCGTGCTCCCGCACATGCGCAGTTTGCGCTAATGCAGAGGGGCAGCAGCAGTGCTATCTGTCAACACCTCGGCCGTGCACCTCGGACACCGGCCGATGACAGATCGAGAGTACCGGCTCCGTTTGCTGGTACCATGTGACCTGCTGTGACCAATCACAGCAGGTCACATGACAGTTGTATACAATGGATGGCTTCATTCATGATGCCATCCATTGTATACTAGTGCCTAGCTGTGAATGGTCACAGCTAATCACATGCAATGTCATGTGATTAGCTGTGACCAAATCACAGCCTAAGCAAAAAAAAAAAAAAAAAAAAAAAGCTGAATGAATCGATTTCATTCAGGTAAATGCTTGCTTATAGCAAAGTAATTCTTTGCTATAAGCAAATTGTGTAAAAAAAAAAAAAAAAAAAAAAAAAAATACTGATCACTTCCCCAAAGTAGTACAATGTTACTATGGTAACATTGTACTACTTTGGTCTCATAGTAAAATATGAAAAAAAAATTAAAAAAAATGTAATAAATTAAATATAATAATAAAAATTAAAAATATATTTTTTTTTTCATACTGTCACCAGTCAGTGTCCCTGTTAACCGCCATGCCAGTTATATGATGACGCTGTACTGCACTGGTGACAGTATGTAAAAAAAAAATGTAAAAAAAATTATGACAAAAAAATACAACTTCAAAAAAACTCGCCATGCCTCTTATGAAGTACGTCGGACTGTTCTACTCTGCAAAAAGGGGTCATTTGGGGGATATCTGTACTGTTCTGACATTCTTGGACCTCAAGAAATTAGATTGGCCGTCAGTACTTCAGGATTGATCAATATTCAGATCTATATCATAGTTTGTGAACTCTATAAGTTTCCTACAAAACTAAAAAAAATACATCCTTAATTTGGGTTATTTTCACCAAAGACATGTAGCAGAATACATCTCGCCTAAAATTTATGAAGAACAATTATTTATTTGTAAAACTTTTATAACAGAAACAAAGAAAAATGTGTGTTTTTTTTTCAACATTTTTTGGCCTTTTTTTGTTTAATTTAGCAAAAAATAAAACCCCTCAGCGGTGATTAAATACACCAAAAGAAAGCTCTAGTTGTGTGAAGAAAATGATAAAATTTTAGTTTGGGTACAGTGTTGTATGACCGCGCAATTGTCATTCAAAGTGTGAGAGCGGCTGAAACCTGAAAAAATGGCCTGGGCAGGAAGGTGTAAATTGCACGGTATTGAAAACGGTTTAAAAAAAAATAAACACAATACAAAACCTTTTTTTGTAAAATATGAAATTTGTTATGCGACTAAATAGATACCTAACAAGTCACTTTAAAATTGCACACACTCATGGAATGGTCACCCGAAGTATGGTACTTAAAAACCTCAAATAGACAACACTTTACAAATGTTTAAGGTTACCAGTTTAGCATTAGAGAAGAGGTCTTTTGTGCTAGAAATTATTCCTTTGTTATAACGTTCGTGGCGCGATAACCTCACGTTGTGCAAACACATTTTACATATGTGGGCATGACTTATCTGTGTATTCACCACTGTGTGTGAGATGGGGGAGATGGAGGCTCTTTTAAAAAAAAAAAAAAAATTTAATATATTTGACACAGGCACAATTTTAGGTTATTTTCAGGGTGTAAAAAGGTTTTTTTAGGTATAAGAAGTCTATAGTTATATAATGGATATGGGCTGAAAGTGCACACTCTCAGGTTTAATTTGA